TCATCAGACGTCAGTCACTGTTTGACCCCAGGGCATCAGCCATACCCCACTCCCTGCTACCCCCCATTTCTGCTAAGATCACAGGTCCTTCTCGCTCCCAGGTAAGACTCAGAGCCCTAGGACCTGAGCAACTGGGCACCTGAAGAATATGCTCTGAGGAAAGGGGGATGGGGCCCCGCTCCATGTGGAGTCTCCAGGGAAAGGGATCTTCCTCGGGTTTGTGCAGGCTGAGCAGGTCAAGGGCATGCTCTGGCACCCAGGCAGCCTATTGGGAAGGGCTTCTTGAAGCTGAAGTGGGAGCAGTTAGTTCCCAGTGACCTCGGACAGTCCAAGCACGGGCGGTCCCCGCAGACTGCAGGATGGTCCCCTAAGTTCCTAGCTGGTATCACGATGAGCTTAAACCTCCCTAGGACCAGATATATAGGAGCCCCCTTCCCTGAGGCTGAGGCTGCATCATGGTAAGCGCTGGCATGAGGCTGGGGTCCTGCATCTGCACTCAAACCTCCTGGCCTCTCCAGGTCCTCGGGATGTTAGGTGTTCTTCAGCAATCTTGGGTAAAGAACTCTTTTTCTGTCCTATGAGCTTGGTGGGGACAATCAGAATGGAATTCTTTGTGCTGGATAAACTCTCTGTGGTGTGTATCTTTGTTTCGGCAACCATTAAAAGCTAGGGCTAAATAGGAGTATGTGTGTATATGTGTATGTACATATGTGTGTATGTATGTATGAATGAATTTGTTGAGATTCTTGTTACCTGGTATGACTTTGAAGTCAGAGATTTGCCAGGACTGAACACTAGTGTATCTGTTTCCACACCTGTAGAGATCAGAGTGAAAGGAAAAGTGGATCTGAAGAGCCCAAGTGCTCCCAATGATCATGTGTGCATAGGGTTCATGCGCATGTCTGTGTGTGTATGTTCGTGCATGTGTGTCTGTGTGCGTGTGCGTGTGCGTGTGTGTGTGTGTGTGTGTACAAGCATACACTAAAAACAGGAATGGTGGGACCCAGCAGTGAAAGGCTTTCAGTCTGGGGACCTGGGTTCAAATCCCAGCCCCAGCTCTTCTCAGATGCAGTGCCCCATCTGTGGAATGACAGAGTAGGGCCTTCCCCCAGAGCAGGACCTGGTTGTCTGTTCTTGATGTCATCTGGAGGGATGGGGACCATACCCCTGTAAAGGATGTGCAGCTTTCTAAAGCAGAAAGAACAGATATGTAACACAGGGTCCACGGGTCCCTTTAAAGAGCCACTCTGCTATCGGCCCCCGTGGGTATCAGCCTCACAAGTGGCCACACAGTGACTGCCTCAAGGCCACATCCAACATGTTAGTTAGGGCCATGGGGACCAAGGATGGGCTGATCCTGGCACGTCCACCTCCCCGTCCCCACAGACACTCCGGGCATACTTGTCCATTGAAGCTTCGCAGCTCTTGCCTTGCTTGGGGATGAGGGTCTGGTCTTGAACGTGTACCTGCTCATTTCCCAATGGTACCAAAATCGTTGTCCCTCAGCTAACACTCCCTTGGGACTCCATTCTAGGCCAAAGATAAAGACAGGAAGGGCTCAGGCTTGACCTTGGGCATCCAGAGTCTGGGAGCAGGGAAGACCTGTGCATAGCTCCACACCCAGTACAGGAGACCAAGCTGTCAGGAGAAAGATGCCACCAGAACCCCGGTCCCTCTCACTCCTTAGCCATAGTGAGAGTAGAGCGCCTTGCCCTTACTGGAGCCAGCCTTTGTCCTCCTCCCTGGCAGCTGAAATGAAAAGCCCAGAACTCTTTTTTAAAGACTTTCCTGGGGCCTTGCCTCCCAGACCCTTCCTGAAGCCTGAGGCACAGCTGTTGGAGCTGGAGTCAATCTGCATTGCCTCTGGCCAAGGTGATGCCTGAGAGGCCTCCAAACCTCAGGAGAGAGACAAAAAAACACTGAGAAAGGCTTAGGGGCTTTGACCAATTCTCTTATAATTGCATCAGGTTTTAATTAAAGAAAGGGAATATGTAGATTATTCTTCCATTCTGCAGTTTGGGCAGACAGCGTGGTAAGAGCCACCATGCAGGCCTGGCTCTGTGATACTCCCTGCCCACTCTCTGAAGCCCTGCATATACAGCTTTCACCCTGGAGGTGACTGTCCCCTCCGGAGGCCGGGCAGCAGATGGCAGGACCAATGCCGTCATTTAATGAGAAACAAGTTGAGCAGGGTAATTACAGCATGGAGCAGTGCCCCACTTTTGTAAAAGTGTCCCTAAGGACGGCAGATGAGGACACTACGCGTAGCCACACTCCCTGTCCCCACCCAGGCACAGGAGAAGAGAGAGGCCTTTTGGGAAATTCATCTGTTTCTTGACCACCCACAACTCTTCAGCCACAGGCACAGGTGGGCCCAGCCTCTTGTTTTGAATCTTCACCTGCCTAATTCTAAAGCTGCTCTTTCTCCAAGAGCATGCACTGTGTCCCAGCGTGTAAGGACCTAGGTCCAAATCCCAGCTCCAGCACTACTGCGCTGGTAAAGGTTTTTAGGGGGTGACAGGCAAAAACTTGCCTCTTGACCTAGACTGGTCAGGAAGTTGCCACCTGTGGTCACATGTGAAGACGTTCTGCAGAAACGCATCTCCAGGCTGCCATCTGAACACCTGGCTTTATCCAACCCAGGTGCCCAGGAGGGCCCAGAGTTTCTGCAAACCCCCAAATGGTACAAACAGGGCCCTAAGGGTATGTGTGACTATATTCCCAGGGAAGAAATCAGTAGTCTTTATCAACTTCTCAAAGCGTTCTGTGACCCAACAGCTGCGGTGCTGGCTGGCTTTTTGTCAGGGTGACACAGGACAGGGTCATCTGGGAAGAAGGACACTCAACTGAGAAAATGCTCCCATCAGTTTGGCCTGTAGGTATTCTGTGGGGCATTCTCTTGATTAACGATTAATGGGGGAGGACCCAGCTCACTGGGGACAGCACCACTCCTGGACAGGTGGTCCTGGGTTCTTTAAGAAAGCAGGCTGAGCAAGCCAGTAGGCAGCACCCTCCATGGCTTCTACTTGAATCCCCAACTCCAGGTTCCTGCCTTGGCTTCTCTCAGTGGACTGTGAGAAGTGATAAAGAGACCAAAAAAAAAAAAAATCCTCACCAAGTTGCTTTTGGTCACGGCTTTTACCACAGCAATAGAAACCTAACTATGGCAGCTGTCAAATCTTCAGTCTCCGTGACTATTGTGCCCCCTCTGGGCACTTTGGTCCCATCCCATTACAGTTACTTTCTGTTCAGATCTGGCCCCTGCAGATGTATACATTGATGGAACCCTGTCTTTTAGGCTAGTTCCAGATGCCTGGCTCTATGTAAGGGTTGGCTGACGCTTACAGTCCTGAGGGCACTGTTGGATGAATTCACTGATTTATAAGGGGGAGCCCAGAAACATCATTGCTCTTTTTAATGCAGAAATATTAATGTCTATTCAGTTCGGGGGGGTTGTTATTTCAGAGTGTTTTGGGTTTTTTGTTTTATTTGGGGTTTTTGAAACAGGATCTTGCTATGTGGCCCAGGATGGCCTCAAATTCTCAGCAATCCCCCTGCTTCAGGTTTCCAAATATTGGGGCCGGGACAGGCATAGTGGCACATGTCTTTAAATCCCAGCACTTGGTAGCTAGAGGCAGGTGGATCTCTGTGAGTTTGAGGCCAGGCTGGTCTACATAGTGAGATCCAGGACAGCTAGAGCTACATATTAGAGAAACCCAAAAAGAAAGAAAGAAAGAAAGAAAGAAAGAAAGAAAGAAAGAAAGTGCTGGGACCACAGTTGTGTGCCACCATGCCTCGTTCATCAGAGCCTGTTTGATGTGTCCACTGGTGGGTTTGTATAAATAAAAGGCCTCTCATATGTCATGTACTCTGCCTTGAGCAGCTAGCTGCCTCTTTGGGAAACAAAAGACATATAAGTCAACATCCTGTGACTAGGCACCAGACCTGTAAATTGTGTCATCCATTGTCACAGCAGCCAGCATCCTTGCTGGGGATACACAGCTGGCTCTGGGAGTGGCTGTTCCTTGGGGAGCATGGTGGCACATGGAGCTGCAGGAGCCCACAAAGGAAGTAGGGTCCAGCCTTAGAAGGGTAAGGGCCCAGTTAGAGCTGTGGCACCCGGCCACTTGTCACTTCTCTGTCTCTCTCTGTCTCTCTGTCCTCTCTCTCTCTCTCTCTCTCTCTCTCTCTCTCTCTCT